GCTCTTTGATCAGTAAAGTATCTTCGCATTTGTAATTTAGATTGAGGCATGTGTCGTTTATTATTTAATCACAATTTCAATTGTAGAATCGACATAATTAATTAGTTTGGATTCAGTACCATTTTTTTTAATATTGACTGATCCTGTTTTTTAAGTTGTCTGGGTTCGGGTGTTTGAACAATTGGGATTGGTTAGTTTAATTGGTTAATGTCTGACTTCTAATTAAGAAGTCCTAGTTAGTTTTGAATTAATTCAGGGGATTGGTTATAGCTGTTGAGAATATAGGTAGAATCAGTGATTTGAAGAAGCTTTCAGGGGTAGTTTAGGCATAGAAAAGGGCAGTTTCTTTGGGAATAGTAATTTCAAAATAGGGGTAAGGGAATAGTACTTTAATTGAAAAGGGTATCTTCTTTATCAAATGATTTCTAAAAATAACTTCATATTTTCTTGTTGATTTCTTAATTGGGTTGGAAGTTGTACTCTACTTTATATTAAGTGAATGAGGCGTCACAAGGTGACATTTACTCGAAAGAATTATATTCGAAAGATGCTTATTTGAAAGATATTATTTAAAGGAAATATATTCGATATATATTCATTAAAAAGCATATTATCTTGGAGATTATTACTTGAAGGATTTATAGGTGAAAGATTTATATTTGAAGGACTTGATGAATTGATTGCACTTGTATCTATTATTTGTTGAGACACATTTATGGTGTTCTTGTGGCCTGCTATTTACATCACTGGTTGGTCATTGTTGCCATCATTGTTATCTGCTTCCTATTATTTTTGTACGCTATATTGCACAGGTTTATTTGGTAGTCTGGTCCTAGCCTCGTCACTACTTCGCCGAGGTTAGGCTAGGCACTTACCAGCACATGGGGTCGGTTGTGCTGATACTACACTCTGCACTCTTTTGTGCAGATCCCAGTGTTGTAGACTTCGGACCGCAGTGAGATTGTTGTTTTCTTGTTCATCAGGCGATCCGAGGTAGTCCTGCAGGCGTCCGCAGGCCTTGGCGCGTCTCCTTCTATCTACTATTCCTGTTTCTTTCATGTATTTCCAGAGACAGTATTGTATTTATTTCTTTCAGACCTTTATTTGTAGTACTCCTAGACAGTCTGTGAAGTTGTGACACTAGTCTTGGGTAGATTTGTTATGGTTTGGTATTAGCAGTATTATTAAATCTCTACAATGCAGTCTTCCGCTTATTCAATTCTGTTGTTATTTAATTGTTGGCTCTTAACCGTTATCGGATTAAAAATGGAAATAAGGTAGATAGTTCAGTTGGTTGGCTTGCGTAGCTTTCACTAGTAGGCGCCATCACGACTCCCTAGGGTGGGAAATTCGGGTCGTGACAGAGGTCCCCCTGCCTAACATCAAGCTAAATGAAATTCTTCGGCATAACACTTGGAATTGGAACATGCTAACCATTCAACTCAACGTCGACATCAAATCTCATCTCTTATCCTTGGACATTGAACTAGACATCAATTGTTATGATAAAGCTAACTGGAGCCATTCCAACTCAGGAAATTTTACCATCAGCTCTACCTGGAATTCTATTAGGCAAAGGAACGACCATAATCCTTTCTATAGCAACTTATGGACAAAGGACATACCATTCAAGATGTCTTTTCTCTTATGGAGAGCAGTTGGTAATAAACTCTACACTGACAAGAGAATGGCTAGGATTGGAATTACTCTAAACCCCCAATTTTATTATTGTAACCCTGCTATCAACCAAACTGAGCTTGAGGACATTAATCACCTATTCTGTCAATGTGATCTTGCTAGGAAAATTTTCAAGAAATTTGCGGGCCCTTTGGGTATTGGTTAGAATTTCAACGGCCTAAACATGATTCTTTTGAGTTGGCGGAATCACAAATCGTCCAATCCAATCGCGAGATTCATCACCAAGAATCTCCCACTTATCATTTGCTGGGAGCTATAGAAATCAAGATGCTGCAACAAGTTTGAAGGGACTAGACCCTCAATATATAGAACCAGTTCTAATATCACTAATTTTCTTTTACAGATAATCAAGAAACATTTTAGCAGAGTTCGTATTGGAGATAGCTGGAGCAGTATATACATAGCATATGAAGCACACATTCAACATACTAGCAACTTCTTTATGAAATGGATCAGACCACCTGCTCAATTAGTCAAGCTGAATAGTGATGGAAGTTGCTCTAATGGGCAATGTGGAGGGGGAGGGGGTATTATTCGAGACCAAGAAGGAAATTTCATCACTGCCTACTTCATCTTTTTAGGAGCAAGCACCAGTAATTATGCATAAGCTGAAGCACTTCTCTTTGTTTTGAAATGGTGCTGACAGAGGTCTAGAGAAGGCCATAGGAGAATCTGACTCACTCCTAGTGGTCAAATGTGCCAAAAGGGAGTGAAAAGCTCCATGGAATATCAACAACCAAGCAAAAGAGATCCAGAAAATGTTTGAAGATCACAACTTCAACATTCTTCAGAGAAGCTACCGACGGTTTAGCAAGTCGAAGTCACAGAATTGAATGAAACAAGATCTTCGACCTTTTCTCTGATCTTCCTAGCCATAAGGGGCCTAGTAAATATGGACAAATGAAGCTTACCTACCTTCAGAATAAAGCACACAAAACCATCTAACATCATCTATGATCCTCCTTGAGCTAACTTTATTTTTTGATATCCTTTAGTTAGGATATAGAGTGATAGTCACATCTCAATGATCATGTACAAAGTTTGGGATGCCAAACTCAATATATAACTTTTTGCACATCAATAATCAATGGTGACTGTTTAATTAATAAAATACAACATTATACACTATTACACAAAAACTGACTTCGTCTTCTTCCTTGATTCTCTTATGAAATTCAACTCAAATTTAGTTCAAATCTACTCCAAATCACTTCAGATTAAAGTTTTGAACTCCTTTTGATATTTCCAATTGATAGGAATAGTACCAAATCCAAACAACTAACAAACTAGAAAAACCAAGATCTAAAATTTACCTCAAATCTACTCCTAATTACTTCAAATTTAAGTTATCAATTGGAACAACACAAAATCCAAACACCTAAAAAAATAAACCCAATTAAAAAAATTTTAACGTCATTTACGCAGATAAAAAAAGGAGGAAAATAAAGTGTGTGCCCGATCAGGGGGTTTATCATCAATCATGACAAGCATAGAATGTTATTGGTTTGTAATGATAACTTAATTACTCATAAGTTTAATCTTGTTATTCATGGACCATGGTTTAGAACTTTGCCGCTTCAATTAAAAAAATGAGTATAAAGATGGCCCTAACATATAAATATGGTAGTGTTGAGCATTAATACTACAACGATATTCCCATATTCTTCTGTATTATTTTTTTGATTTTTGAATATGATTGGGTAATTAAGGTTAAAATACTTGCGTGATTATATGGAGTCAACAAATGATGAACTACACATTGAAGTTTGTTTTTTGTACGAAGGAGAAGAAGAAAGAAAAGAAAAAGAACATTTTGAAGTAGGTCTTTAATGTCGAACTAAGAAATGAAAAAGGAATTTCAAGTTATATATAAAGTGGGTTAAACTGGATAAAAAGCTAAATTATGTGCTAATTTTGGTAGCATTGTTACTCCAATTGACATAGAGAGTAATTTTTTCAATTTAGGAGGTCCCAATCACTTTTAAATATGATATAAAGATTCTCTTGAACAAGTACTATTTTGTAATCCATCATAAATTTTAAAGCAATCATTTTTTCCCCATCTTTCGGGGACACTGGACATAAGCCGTTCAACATCTTAGTCCAAGTAACTTATTTTGGAATGCACCAAAATCATTCACCTAGGATTAGCATTTAGAAATACCATTCAAGATGCTGACTCTTTATAAAGAAATAACACATACGGCAACTCGTAGCCTGTTTGATCAAACTTTTAAAATTAGTTTATTTTGAAAGTACATTTCTTAAAAGTGTTTCTTTCACAAGTACATTTGGTGAGAAGCAGTTTGTATTTGGCTAATTAATCCGAAAAGAGCTTTTGAGCAGCAATTAGTATTTGGCCAAACTGTAAAAAAGTGCCTCTACGTATATTTTTCTTTAAAGTGCTTTTCAAAAAAAGTGCTTCCGGAGAGAAGCTACATTTTTATGCTTCTCTAAAACTGCTTCTGATATATATATATTTTTTTTTTCTTTTAAAAGCTTGACCAAAATCTTCAACTTTAAAAAAAAAAGCATTTTTTTAAATAAAAAAAAAAAGTACTTTTGGGGCTGAAAAATCTTGGCCAAACAGGCTATGAATCACTAACGAAGAATGATTTGGCAAAGGATAAAATATTAATTATAAAGAAAATTTGAGCTATCCAACCCCATGAATTGCTTTTCCTCAGCCAAGTTTAGATGCAAACTTCAACAAAGAATCAATCCAGTAGGCCATCTTATAAATCTTTTTATTCAATTTAGTTAACTTTTTCATTGAGAAGGCAAATCACTTGGCAAGAAAGCTTAAAGCATGGTAACAACTTACTTCAAATATAACAACTAGTCTTTATAAAAGAGCCAACAAAACAAAAATGGACATAATATAAGAATGTCTCAAGCTAAAGATATGAATGAACTTAACTAGCAAAAATTGAAGCATATTCATGGAACATGCCAGAAGTAGCATTGGTGTAAGGTTCTTACAGCTGAGAAAAAACCGTAGTAGCAGCGCGTTGTCTATACAACTTAGCATTGCTTCTGTTCTCTCTATTTGAAATCAGCTTACCAGCAAACATGGCGGTTCTGTTTATTACTAACTACCAAGAAGACACAAAGGCAGGCTCGCCGTTCACATCCTCAACAGGAGCAGGAAGATTAAGATCAAGTAAATCAACAACTTCTCTTTTGAATGCTGAAGCTTGATACTGATTCTCCTGAGAACCAGTAAGGAAATGTGACCTTTTGTGTCCGCCTAAAGCTTGTCCGGACTTAAACATCCTGTTGCAAAATGGGCATTCATGTCCTTTGAATTTCTTAGCCTTCATCTTTTTCTCAGGATTATAAGAGATATCTCGAGTATGAGCAGCTGGTTTTTTGTTGCTAAATGTCTCCCGATCAGCATCTCGGCTATTTTCGTTCGTTTCATACTTCGATTCGATATAGGTATTGATCTTTTTAGTGCAGGGTCTGTGTCCACCAAGAGCTTGGTAAGAGCTAAAAGTCTTCTTGCAGTTGAAGCATTCATACTTTTTCTTCTTCTGAGTATGTTTGCTTCCTTCTGCACCTTTAAAACCAAGCTTTATCTTCTTATTAAAGGACTCATTTCCTAATTCTGAGTGATAAGAACTATCCTTATTTCTCTTTCTTGATTCACACTTAACCAAATTTGAAGCCATGCCATAGCTATTGTATTTATAGTCCTTGGTTGAACCATTCCTTATGTCTGTTATATGCTTTTTCATTCTGTTTAAGCCCTTTTCCTCGTCGATTCTAGACTCATCGTACCAAACTCCGAGGCTCTTGTTAGACGTATTACGTTGGTAATTATACTTTCTATGGAACTCATCAACAGAGGCGTCTGATTCAACGTTCATATATTCGTCTAAAAAGTATCCGGAATCAGAGTTCTCAGATTGAACTTCACCATTCAGAACATTAAGTTTTAAGTTCCTGTCCGCCTTTTTCTTGCTTCGAGGCGTTCCATCTAGACTGTCAGCATATTTTAGACTATCCTTTCTTGCAATTTNAAAACATTAAGTGTTAAGTTCCTGTCCGCCTTTTTCTTGCTTCGAGGTGTTCCATCTACATTGTCAGCACATTTTAGACTATCCTTTCTAGAAATTCTCATGTCGACAGATGATGATTTCGACTCAAAAACAACAGAATTGTTGTCAGAAGACTCAACAACTGAATTGATGACACCATTCCATTTCCCAGAATCCATTGACAACATCATCAAACACTTTGCTACTTCCTCTTGATCTTGCTCATCAATCTCAGAAACAGATGAGGAAAAACTTCTATTGTTAACCAAACAAAAAGAAGAGGACTTAGACTTATTGTACCTTTTAATTTTTGATCTGCTCCTCAGCATTATTGGCTCCTCAGCTTCAGTATCCGAGTTGCTATCCATCGCTATATTCTTGTTTTCACTAGTCCACGAGTGATCATCTTTCGAGCCCTTATCTTTGCCCGAGTGACAAGCCATGTGACCACACAAAGCTTTCAGTGATTGAAAAATCTTACCACATTGCTGGCAAACATTCTCTTGAGGCAAAGGGGACCTCGAATCGACAGCCCTCCAAGTTTTCTTAGGGTTATCTCTAAGGCCATAACCAGAATTTTCACCTAGTTCATACTTTGATTTATGATCTCTCTTGCTATTTTTTTTCCCAAGATTAATCCAAGATTGCACCTTTTTGTGTTTGAGTTCAACTTTTTCCTCTAATTTAGCAGAATTTGCTAATACATGAGACCTCATGTGACCCCCAAATGACTTCCCACATGGATACCTCTTGTTACACAACTTGCAAAAATACTTCAAATCTTGATCTTCTTCCATTGAGTAAAAACAAATCAACTATCAAACAAAATCCAGTGAGTAAATTCAAGATCAAGTGAAGAGTGTTTCAAGTTAAAATCATGACAAAATGCTACATTCCATGATCTAGTAGTAAACAGCAGTTCTAGCACAAAATGTTTTAGAGGAACCTAAGATCAAAAGGAAAGAGAGAAAATGGAAAAAGCTTTAAGAATATACTAGTATATATGGGGTTGGATACAGATCACTAAGTCTCTATTTGAGTATTGCACTATAGTCTATAACTATCCTGCAAATAATAAAAAGGGCAATTTTGGGAAGTAAATGATCAGACCCACAAAAAAAGGAGACTCTTTCAATTCCATATCCATGTAATCTCCCCCTCAACTCAGACATACAAATATTAAATGTTCAAAATTTCAAGAATCATTATATAAAAAATATTTTGAATAGATGGATCACTCCTAATGACCATAAGACTAGCATAATATTAGGGTGATTTAAAAACCAAATCACAACAGAAAACCAAAGACTCTTTCCTCT